ATTATTTTTACTGACTTTTATTTAAACAAGCAACCCAAATACTAAAAAGACTGAGCCTACATTTTTAATGACCAGGTTAGGATAAAGCAGAAATACATATGTACATTAATAGCGTAAAAGACAACAAAATCATTTGTGTTCGTTTGTCCATCTATGCTAGCAGGTTCTAAAACACAACACCTCTACAAACTTCCTTTTTAAAAACTTTCTTTCATCTTCAATGTTTCTTAAATTAAGTAATATATTAATATGCTCTCTTAGTAAACGATTCAAATAATACAGAAATGTAAACAAAACATGAAAATCAACCTTTCCTGGACCCACTGGGTCTGAAAGAATCCCTGAATCTATTGCCCTGAGATAATCTTTAAGCCTTAAACCGAAACTACCCCATAAAGTCAACTTTAAACTAAACAACAGTTTAGCTCAACTAGTAAAGAACGTTCACCTTGAGCAGTGTGCTCTTTTAAAGAATATCTACATGAGAGCAAATCGACAACCCATAAAATCCACTGCCATCAAATCAATTCCGACTCACAGCGACCTTATAGGACAGAGTAGAATTGCCCCATAGGATTTCCAAGGAGCAGCTGGTGGATTTCAACTGCCGACCTTTTGGTTAGCAGCCAAGCTCTTAAGCACTGCACCACCAGGTCTCCAAGTTGACAAACTAAACATAAACCTGTTGCCACTGGGTCAACACCGACCCATAGCGACCCTAGAGGACAGAGTAGAACTGCCTCATAGGGTTTCCAAGGCGTGGCTGCTGGATTTGAACTGCTGATCTTTTGGTTAGTGGCCATATCACTTAACCACTGCACCACCAGGGCTCCAAAATGACAATAGTAACTCTAAAACATAGAGAACTTTAGGGGACAGACAGTCTAACTTAATGGTAGTGAAACAATATAGGTAGAGATAGCAAGAACGGTGACACAATGTGAAGAATGTAACCAATGTCATTGAAAGGTATATATAGAAAATATTGAATTGGGTGTATGTTTGTTATGTATATTTTCACCAAAAAAAAGCTTTCCCTTACTCCCTGTCAGCACTCACTACCCTTTGCCCCAGAAGTAACCGCTGTCAACATTCATTGTTATCCTTCCAGTAAACTTTCTATGCATTTACAAATGTATATGTACATATACATTGATATCTTTTATTTTTTTAAAAACATAAATATGATAATATTAATCTGCAACTTGCTTTTTTTCACTTCACCACTCATCTTATAGGTCTGTTTAAATAGGTTCTGAGCTCAGGGGGGAGGTCTCGGATGGTAATATGGGTTAGGAGTCATCAGCATTTAGATATCAGCCTAAGTTACAGGTTTGTATGAGAAAACCCAGGGATTGTATATAATGTGTAGAGTGATTAGAGAGCCAAAAATGGAAACCCTGGAAAAGAGTTATTTAAGGTACAAGCAGAAGAAGAACCAAGATAAAAAATAGAAGAAAAAAATCAGGAAAGAATGAGATTGCAGAAGCTAAGAAAAAAGAATTCCAAGAATAACGGAGTGATCAATAATGGTGAATGTGGCAGTTAGTTCAAATAACCATTTTTAAACGTCCAACTGATATGATAGTTGTTATTAGGTGCCACTGAGTCGCTTCTGACACATAGCGACCCTACGCACAACAGAACGAAATACTGCCCGGTCCTGCGCCATTCTCACATTGTTGCAGCCACTGTGTCAATCTGTCTTGTGGGTCTTCCTCTTTTTCGCTGGCCAACTACTTTACCAAGCATGATGTCCTTCTCCAGGGACTGATCCCTCCTGATAACATGTCCAAAGTATGTGAGACGTAGTCTTGCCATCTGTGCTTCTAAGGAGGATTCTGTCTGTACTTCTCCCAAGACAGATTTGTTTGTTCTTTTGGCAGTCCATGGTATATTCAATATTCTTCATCAACACCACAATTTGAAGGCATCAATTCTTCGGGCTTCCTTATTCATTGTCCAGCTTTCAAATGCATACGAGGTGACTGAAAACACCATGGCTTGGATATGACAGTTATATGATCTTTATTGACCTTACCAAGAGATAAACTCACAAATTATATGGAAGCTCACGATGAAAGAGCTAATGCACTTGCTTTCCCTCCTTACTTCTTCTAACACTAGCCCCTCCTACCTATCATGGGCTGGCACAAGGGCACAGAAAAAACTCTTCAGTCACTCTTGAATTTTGTAAATGCTTATTATGAGATATCAGTTATTGTGGTCCTAAGATAACTGTATAAGCTTTCATAAAAGCTTATGCATAGGATACTGATATCCCCATCCTAGACCTTCCCCTGAGCTTGCGGAAGATGATGTAAACCAGACTGGTTCCTACCAGTTAGTTGCTGTTAAGTTGTATATGTCTCTCCCCTGGCTGGACTTTGAGCAATTTAGGGGCAGAAAACATGTCTTAGTCCTCTTTGCATTCTCTACACCTTCACGGTATCTGGAACTAAGGGAGGGCCCAATAAATATTGGATCAATGATTACTACAGAAAACAAACACTGTGATATAAAAGGTGAGAGAAGAAACAATCATTATCAACTGGAGTCGTCCGGAATTTCTCTAATTTTACCAAATCACACATACTCGTTGCCATTGAATTGATTCTGACTCATAGCGACCCTATAGAACAGAGTAGAACTTCCCCATAGGGCTTCCAAGGAGCGGCTGGTGGATTCAAACTGCCAGCCTTTTGGTTAGCAGCCATAGCTCGCCATAGCTCTTAACCACTGCAGCACCAGGGCTCTTAACTCGTTCCTTCTATACCCTCATCCAAAAGTAAATGAATAAATAAAGTTATTTCAAAGATTTTCTGAATGAGGAGTTGAGGTTGAACTGACTGTGAAGAATAACAGCTTTTTGATAGGCTTGGCACAGGTAGAAGGAGAAAACATTGTCAGAAAGGGCCAAATCATGTCTGGTGACCAGTGATCAGGAAGATAGGAAGCATATTTTGTTTTAAAAAGTACGAATGGACTTCAGACAATCTCTTGTTATCAATGCAACACAAGCGGTCCAAAAACTCAATTAGATATGAATTATGTAAATCTCAGTACCAAAACTTTAGTTCTTTATGCAACGGTCATAATTTTTTAAACTGATTTCAAGTAGGAAAACCTTTCTGAAAACAAAAACATCAAAATCTGAGGTTCTAACCAAAGACTCAAGGAAGCAATTAGTCCACAGGACTAACAGACCACATGAACCATAGCCTCCACTCGCCTGTGACCAGAAGAATTAGATGGTGCCCAGCTACCACTACCAACCGCTCTGACCAGGAACACAATAGAAAGTCCTGCTTCGAGTGAGTGGGAGAAAAATGTACAACAAAATTCAAATTTATAAAAAAGACCAGACTTACTGGTCTGATAGAGACCAGAGGAACCACCGAGACTATAGCCCTAAGACACTCTTCTAATGTGAAACTGACGTCACTCCAGGAGATCGCTTTTCAACCAAATAATAGACAGGCTTATAAAATAAACAATAACAGCCACGAGGAATGTGCTCCTTAGAATAATCAACCATATGAGACCAAAAGGGCAACATTTGCCCAAAAGCAAAGATGAGAAGGCAGGAAGGGGCAAGGAAATTGGGCGAATGGAGATTGAGACCTCAGGGTAGAAATGAGGAGACACATTGCAGGGATTGCAACCAATGTCACCAAACAATTTATGTACGTATCATTGAATGGGAAACTAATTTACTATGTAAACTTTCACCTAAAGTACAATAAAATGTTAAAAAAGTAAATCTGAGGTTCTCCATGGGGATGGTACTGCTCCTCTCCCCCAGTGAGCAGAGTAGAAATTTGTGGGTGAGTCTTTGTTGTCACAGTGATGGGGAGTAAGGGTAGGGGCAGAACTCCTGCAATCCCTGCATAATAAAGAATCTTCCCCTCTTGCTAGATCATTAAATAGGTGAAGACATGCTTATAATAATTTTGAGTCTAGGACCTAACTCTATTTTACACATAAACATACAGTATATTTATGCTGTTGAATTTTCCAAGAATGTGACTATTGAGAAAATTGAGGGAGGGTTGTACTTTGTTTCATTCTGGAACTTTTCTAAGAGTTGTTCACTATTTCAGATAATTGTCTAGTGGAAGGTAACACCATAAGCTGTATCTAGACTGCAATATAACACATTTATGTCAGCTTGCATTTGTAGTTCTCATGGGGATTCTATGTATATATACAAATCCATTTTATTTTGCCCTTATTTCAAAATGTCAAAGAAATTGGTTAATTGGATATAATTTTATTTTCTTATATCTAAACATTCATTATTGTTGTTGTCTACCAAGTAACATTCACTATAAGTAGGTACAAATATCTGACTACTCCATTATTCTTCTAGTGAAATTGTAACCAAATATTTAGGTATTTAAGTGCAGTACATATAATTTTCTTACAAATGTCTTTTCTTATTTTTCTCCTTTATATCATTATATCTTTCTTTTAAAATTCTACATATGTAGGTAATATTTTCTATGAACTTTTGTAGGGTAGTGAAGGGACATTACAGAACATTTGTAATAAAATGGGGGGCATTTTAGGATTATGAACCACTGATTACTTCTCTGCTTTCCTTCATTCCCCATCTGGAAACAACGGAAGAGCCCAAGTACACCTGTAAGAGCTTCAGTTAATATTTCTCTCAATATTAACTCTTTATTTGAATTCAGCCAGCCCCCTCCCCTCCAAAAAAGAAAGAAAGAAAAAGAAAAACACTATAGCAATAGGCAGGCTTACCAAGCTGGAAATCTGAATTTTGAAAAAAATCATGAAGAACATTCTGAATCTGTAAATCAGAGAAAAGAGATCATATACTACTTCTCAATTACCATATACATACTACCTCCCTCTTTTAGATTAAAAGTCATCTATGGTTTTTCTATTTAAGTCCTGAGTGATCCTTTTTTTTAAAACCAGGGGCAGAAATAGTAATAACTCACATTTAATTTATAGAATATTTCAAGGTATATAAAGTGCTGTTATGGACTGAATTGTGTCCCCCCAGAATACATTTGGTAAATCCTAACCCCTATACCTATGGTTATAATCCCATTTGGGAATGGGTTTTCTTTGTTATGTTAATGAGATGGTATTAGTGTGTCTTGAGTCAATCTCTTTTGAGATATAAAAAGAGCAAATTAAGGAAGGAAGCAAAGAAGCTGAGATGGGGGGAAGATAGATGCCATACCACATGAAGATCGCTAAGGAAACAAGGAATAGAAGCTGAAAAGACACAAGGACCTTCCCCTAGAGTGTACAGAGAAAGAGAGCCTTTTCCTAGAGCCAGTGCCCTGAATTTGGACTTCTAGCCTCCTAACTGTGAAAAAATAAATTTGTTTGTTAAAGCTACCCATTTGTGGTATTTCTGTTATAACAGCACTAGATAACTAAGACAGTGCTTTCACACATATGTCCTCATTTGATTACCAACCTTTTTGCGTGAGAAGGACTGGGATGCTGAGAGTGATCCGATTTTGTCCTCACCAGGGGATAATTCTAGCACGTCTCAGACACTGGGTATGATGGAGCTAAATTCACCTTTGGCAACCACCTTGGCAATCCAAAGAATCCTCTACACTTAAAAATTCTTCAGTTTGTAAAAATGAAATTTCAGGGTTCTCTTGCTCCATTTTTAATAATTCACTTTGAACTGAAAATATGCTTGAAATTTTATGCAACCAATAAGTATTCTCAGATCTATACATACCTAAGAGAAAATATTTAGCTTTTAGAATGCAGTTGTTCTCTGGAGCCAAGAGATATGGTCTCTTAGTCCACAGAAGTGATTAGTCATACACACACAAAAAAAAAAAAAAAACAAAATATCTATTTCTGTTTCCAATGAGAAGTTTGGGAACCTCATCTAGAGTCAAGATTTTGAAAATTTAGCTGGAACTATTTTTAATGCTCAAAAGAAAACTGAAGGAATCGACTCTAAATGACCAGACAGGTCAAGAATCTAATTACCTCAGCAGGACTGAAAATTTAGAGGGAGACTTCCAGCATTCCGTTCAGGATTCTAGCAATTGCCCTCCTATCACCTACCCCCACCTACCATTTACATATATATATATCCCTTCCTTACCACTGCCATAGGAATCATTCCTCTGGGGTCTAGAATCCATTCCTCGAACTGCTCCTCCAGAGCCTGTTGCCGCGTGTCAGCCACCTTGATTTTTACTTTGTTTATTCTTTCTCTTTGCTCTCGTTTCTGTTTAACAATCTCCTTTATCTTGGATACTCTGAAGAATGTAAAAATAGAAAACATTTTAAGACTATTTGCACTTGGTTCAGATGGTTCAAATGGCCAAATATAAGAGATCAGAGGCTCAGTCAAGCTTTGTACCAGTCTTTCTCTATGAAATCTTCCTTGATTCAAGCTTGCAGTGATCCCTCCTTCTTCCAGCACTTACTGAATTTTTCATTAATCATAGGTTGCCTTCTACTGTTATTTGACTTTTTAAGACAAGGCAGTAGGCCTTATCTTTCCCAATTAAGTAATTGTCTTAGGCTGGGTTCTCTAGAGAAGCAAAACCAGTGAAGCATATCTCTCTCTATATATATATATGCCACAAAACAATTTGTATATATATATATATATACAGAGAGAGAGATTTATATCAAGGAAATGGCTCACAAGTCCATAGGTCAGGCTGGAGGCTTATCCTGACTCACACAGCTACAGGGGCTGGCGAACCCAAGACCCAGACCATGGAGGCTGATGAATTCTAAGATCGGTAGGAAGCTGCTAGCTCAAAGACCAAGAACCAGAGGTCAGATGAACAGGATCCAGCTGCAGGATCCAGAGTGAGCAAAAGCCAGTGAGTCTTGCCAGAAAGTCCACCTATATTGGATGCAGGCCACACCCCCAAGGAAACTCCCTTTCAACTGATTGGCTACTCACAGCAGATCCCATCATGGAAGTGATCACATTATATCAGATCTCATCATTGAAGTGATTACATCATTATACGACTGCCTAACTACATCATAATTGCCAAAGCACTGAGAATCATGGCCCAGCCAAGTTGACACACGACCTTAATGATCACAGTACTATACTTAAGAAGCAGTAAGAATAGTCCTAGAAGCTGCCATACATACCCTAAAGGAAAGGTTGGAGGTAATATAGTAAGGTCTTAAGGCAGTGGGCCTCTATCTTCCTGGACACAGAAATCATCTGGGAGGGATGCTGATTTCAGGCCTAGGTTGAGGGCCTGAAGGCTACATTTATAATAAGCACCTCAGGTAATTCTGATGCCTTGGGCCAAACTTCTGAGAAATTCTGTCTAGGATTATACATTGACTTATTGCCTTTATCTGGCCTGAGTCAAATACTTTGACAGCCCTTACTGAATTCCTGAGCATTAATAGGTACCCCTGTACTCACCCAGAGCTTCATCACTCAGGTTGAAAATAGAGGAATAATTGTGATTTCAGTTGCTCCTATGCTCATCATCAGTTCTACTCTGACACACGTGGGGTCACCGTGAGTTGGAATTAGCTCAACTGGGAACTTATTGGTTATGCTCCTTATCTCTATTAGTACATTAAAACCCCAAGCTGGTTTTGATTGATGCACTAAAATAGCTTAGAAAAATTAAAATAATGGCTGGCTTTGAATACAGTTTTCCAACAATGTTTGAGAGACGTCTTTATCTTTAAAAGAAGAAAACCTAAGGAAATCTCACAGAGTTTGAGATGTAAAAGGATTTTCAATAAGAATTGGTAAATTGACAGGGAATTCAGGGTGAAAAGGGAAAGGGGGAGAGTGATGACACAATGTGGGGACTGAAACCAATGTCACAAAAAAATTTGTGTAAAAATTTTTGAATGAGAAACTAATTAGCGCTGTAAACTTTCACCTAAAGCATAATAAAATTAAAAGAATTGGTAAATTGGATACAGGTTTCCCCCATTATCCAAAAGTGGATTGTTACTATGAAATCTTTCGTAAGCCAAACTGGCGAAAAGTAAAGAAGCAACTGCCATTAATCATATGGGAAATATTTTTGAGCGTTCCCAGACCCAAAAAGTAACCTACAAAATCATACCAAGTAGCATGTAAAACCTAAAACCAGGAATGCTGAGCGTAGTTCCTGGGGAAGGAACTTGGCAACGCCACTGTCGCTGCTCAGGGTATGTGCTGCCTCTTTAATGGCTCACTGCAAAACAAATGCTGAACACTATTTCCACTTCTCGCCTTTTTTCGTAAAAGTGAAAATTCTCTTCAGATTTCTTTCAGTTAGTGAAAACAGGTACTAACAGGTCTTTCATAAAAGCGAAGTGGCATAAAGTGAACTTTCAAAAACCGGGAGATATCTGTACCTTTAATAATCCAAACCACAATGCTCCTTAGAAGCGAGGATGGTGAGACTTCATCTCACGTACTTTGGACATGTTATCAGGAGGGACCAGTCCCTGGAGAAGGACATAATGTTAGGTAAAGTAGAGGGTCAGCAAAAAAGAGGAAGACCCTCAATGAGATGGATCAACAGAGTGACTGCAACAATGGGCTCAAGTATAGCAACGATTGTGAGGATGGTGAAAGACCAGGCAACATTTCATTGTGTTATACCAGGGCTTCAAACCAGCTCATTCTGGTTCAAACTCTTGCTAAGAATTTGCATTTCTAACAAGTTCCCTGCTGATAATTTGCATTTCCACACCAGATATACTGAATCAGAATGTACATTTTAACAAGATCCCCAGTTGATTCTTATGTATAACTTCCTGGGAACTTGTTAGAAATGCAAATTCTCAGCAGGGGTTCAAACCAGAACCAACGGGTTCAAAGCCTTGTGTTATACATAGGGTCGCTATGAGTCAGAACCACCTCAACAGAACCTAACAATAACAACAGCCATAATCCAAAAGAAACTACTAAAACCTAAATCATTACTTTATGCCTATATAAGGCTGTCTTAGTTATCTAGTGTTGCTATATGTAACAGAAATACCACAAGTAGGCTTTAACAAACAGAAATTTATTTTCTCACAGTTTAGGAGGCTAGAATTCAGGTACTGGCTCTAGGGGAAGGCTTTCTCTCTCTCTTGGCTCTGGAGGAATGTCCTTGTCTCTTGAGTTTCTGCTCCTGGGCGATCTTCATGGGGCTTGGCATCTCTCTTCCCCCATCTCTGCTTCTTTTGTTTGCTTGTTTAATCTCTTTTATATCTCAAAAGAGGCTGAATTAAGACACACCCTACACTAATCCTATCTCATTAACATAACAAAGGAAACCCATTCCCAAATGGGATTATAATCACAGATACAAGGATTTATAACGTATTTTTGGGGAACACAATTCAATCCATAATAAAGACCTTCAAAATTCTCTAAGTAAATAAGCCTTCAAAAATAAACTTTGGAGGGACTGAACTGCTGGGTGGAAGGCTGTGGGGACCATGGTCTCGGGGAACATCTAGCTCAATTGGCATAAGACAGTTTATAAAGACAATGTTCTACATTCCACCTTGGTGAGTAGCGTCTGGGGTCTTAAAAGCCGGTGAGCGGCCATCTAAGATACTCCACTGGTCTTGTCCCTTCAGGAGCAAGGGAGAATGAAGAGAACAGGATACAAGGAAAAGATTAGTCTGAAGGATTAATGGACCACAGCTACCAAGGCCTCCACCAGACTGAGTCCAGTACAGCTAGATGGTGCCAGGCTACCACCACTGACTGCTCTGACCAGGATCACAACAGAGGCGTTCTGGACAGAGCTGGAGAAGGATGTAGAACAAAATTCTAACCCACAAAAAAAAGGACCAGATTTACTGGCCTAAAGGAGACTGGAGAAACCCTGAGAGTATGGCCCCCAGACACCCTTTTAGCTCAGTGGTGAAGTCACTTCTAAGGCTCACCATTCAGCTGGGGAGTGGACAGCCCCATAAAACCAAATGGGACTAATGAGGTACAGCAGTCCAGGGACAAGGGCCAGAAGGCAGAAGGGGACAGGAAAGCTGGTGATAGGGAAGCCAAAGTTGAGTAAGGATAGTGTTGATGTGTTGTGAGGTTGTTAACCATTGTCATAGGGCAACATGTGTACTAACTGTTAAATGAGAAACTATTTTGTTCTGTAAGCCTTCATCTAAAGTGGGAATAGCAGCACAATTGGAAGAGCGTAGTCGACGTCACTGAACAGTGCATGTAGAAATTTTTGAAATGGTGTATCTTTGGCTATGTATATTTTCACCAAAAAAAAAAAAAAAGGTCGAGAAGGGACAGGGTTGACATGTTGTGGGGTTGTTAACCAATGTCATAAAACAATATGTGTACTACTGTTTCATGAGAAACTATTTGTTCTGTAAGCCTTCACCTGAAGTACAATTAAAATAAATAAATAAATAAACTTTGAAGTCTGAAAATAAAAGCAGGCAAGCAGTTTAATAGTGCAGAAAGGCCTGTTTCTGAACTGCTGTAAGATTAATTCGTATTTTAAAGGAAGTGCTAAATTCCTCTGATGCAATTGTTAAGCATGAAAATAGCAGCAGAACTTCTGACCACAATTTATCTCAGAGCTCCCAGTTCTTTTCTCTGCCTGGCAGTCTTCTGTTCCTCCACTACTCTTTCTCCCTCTCCCACTATATCTCCCTCCCTCTGTCTCTCTCTCTTCCTTTCTCCCTCTCTCCTCTTTCTATCTAGCCTTCTCCCCAATCTCTGTCTTCATTCCTGCATGGCTCTCCATTCTGTGGCTGTGTCTTTCTCTCAGCTTTTTCTTATTAATCATTCATTCACTCACTCACTCACTCATTCATTACACAAATATTATTGGGCACCTACTATGTATCCTGCCATTATAAAGCTTAGGGTCCAATGGCAGAGCAGAAAAGGAAACAATATTGTATGCAAGTACTGGATGCCTCCACGTATATTGATAATTGAAACACAAAGATGAATTTTATCTCTAAGTTTAGGCATCACAAAATTGGTTTTCTGTCATATTTCCATCTGCCTGAAATGCTTTTCTCCCTCTCTTTGCCTGACTAGATCCTCCACATCCCACAGGTCTCAGCTCAGACATCGTTTCCTCTCATTTACTAATGCCCAAACTTAGAAACAAAATCTAGTTTTGTGCTGCAGGGCCACTGTATATGAGACTGCAAATATAATCCAAATGGATATTAAATTGATTTTGCAGCTTATTTAGGAAATGAATAATATTTCTCTTCTGTGGCCTGCATTATCTCATGAAAAAGTCTATATCAATCAACTGAATGTTACAGCATCCAAAACCCTTAACTC